CATTAAGTACATTTTTCCTTAAGTTACATATGACATCCATATTACTAAATAAATTGATCAGCTCTAGTTCTTCATATTGATTACCAGCATCATGTAATACAATTGATATTGATTACTGCTTCTTTTTCATTTATTCTTATATAAAATTTAAGTTTATAGTTCGTAAATATTTTTTTTATTGCCTCCCAATGGAGCTGAAGCGATAGCACAGTGGGTAGGGCATTTGCCTTGCATGCAGCAGACCCTGGCAATCCAGGTTCGATTCCTCCACCCCTCTCATAGACGGGCAAGCTACCAAGAGTATCCTGCCCGCACGACAAAGCCTGGCAAGTTACCCGTGACATACTTGATATGCCAAACACAATAACAATAAGTCTCACAATGGAGACATTACTGGGCCTGCTGGAGCAAATCGATGAACAATGGGAGGACAATGACAGTGACAGTGACAGTGCCTCCCAAATTTGTGTTCAATCTAGATCTCTGCTATAGATTCTAAAACACGTATTAAATTGCCTAACTTTTCAATGTCTCTGCTTTCATCTAATAAACATATTTAATCAATATGATTGGGCTGGAGCAATAGCACAGCGGGTAGGGCGTTCGCCTTACAAGCGGCCAACATGGCCGACCCGAGTTCGATTCCTCCGCCCCTCTCGGAGAGCCCAGCAAGCTACCGAGAGTATTTGATATGCCAAACACAGTAACAACAAAGTCTCCAATGGAGACGTTACTGGGCCTGCTCGAGCAAATCGACGATCAATGGGAGGGCCTTTACCTTTACCTTACCTTAATCAATATGATTAAACATATTTCTTCATATTTCTCTATTTCAAAACTGCCCCTTCTGCATTCTCAAATGTAGCTAATCCCTAATCTTATCTCTTAGAGACTTTAGTACTTAATTTTCCTTTTACTTATTAGTTGATTGAAATTTAGTCACAATAAGTATCTTTGTTTGTATAGATTCATATATTAAATGGACTATTTTCCTAAATTAGAGTTCCGGATATGAGATTACTAGTTACATTTTAAGGCTTTTGAAAATGTTGCCAGATCATTTTCTAAATGAATTAAACTAATTTAATTTTTCTCCAACATTATATTAGTATTTACCTCATTACAGTCTCATCCATAGTGAATGTGATCATTTTTACGATGTAATTGCCTTGAAACTTTACATGCTAGTTATTTAACTACAATTTCTGATATTGAAACTATCCTTTTTTAATTTTATTGAATTGTCTGTGCTCTTTGCCCCCTTTGCCTTTGTACCTATACTTTGTCCAATTCCATATTAGCGCTTTACATTGTTATTTTTCTTGTCAATTTCTCAAATTTATTTATTATATTTCAAAATCAATGTTTATATTATATGGTAATTTTTAAATAGTTTTAATGCATAATATACTTTTGAATATAAAGCATATTGTCACCATATTATTCATATATGATGTGGGGTTCACACTCTAGAGTGTTCTGGGATCTCTTCTGTTGGTGCCCGGGGAACCATATACAATTCTGGGAACCTAACTAGGGTCAGCTGCATGAGAGTCAGGAACCTTAATCCCTGGATTGTCTCTCCAGCCACCAAGCTTTCATTTTAAACAGAAACTCTTTAAGGAATATAAAATTTCTGGAATTTTATTCACAGGTACTACAGAAAATATATTTTTATAGGCACTTTTAAGTGTTTATAAAAAAAAGTTGCCATCTCACAGTGCATGGAGTTTAATGTATATCTCCAAATAAAATCTCACAAAAAGGTTTTGAAGTATTTGTAGTAAAGGTTACTCTTGTGCAATATCTAATGTCCTTACAAAAAATGCGGCAAAAGTGCAAAGCAGGTGGAGCAGAAAAATAAACAGAGGTTTGCTGCATAGATGAGCGTGACTTAGAAATGCACTTCCATTGATAAACTGTCAGCATCAATTGTACTTTCAAATTTTCCTCTTCTTAGAATTTATTCTCTGGTACCAATTTCTAGCCAAGGAGAATGACATTGATTGTAGATAATTGAGACTGAACTTTTGGGGTGATTTTAAAGGTGACTTTAAATCTCTTCATATTTTGCTTGTTGGTATTTTAAAGATCTAATGATAATGATCTTACATTTCCAGCCAGGGCAAGCTACAAAAAAAAAAAAAATCTTCCATTACTGTAGACTCTGTCAGAGACAATTTATTCAATTGAATTTTTTTCCCTTTCTTTTTTCCCCCATTTACTTATTTATTTATTTAATTTGTATCTTTAGCTAAGAATGTCACTTTTTTTTTGCTTTATTGCAGTATGTGTTCAAAAATTTACCTTAATATGAATTTATATTGCTACTATTCTAGTGGATCAAGAATTGTTTGTTTTCTATAGTAATGCTGTCCTCTCCAGGGTTAAATGTGGTCTGTTTTACCTATGTACAGTAATATCACAGTTTGAGGTGAGAATGAAGGATCTCTTTGGACTCCAAGAGAATTTAAGTAGGCAGAATGTAATTATCCAAGTTGGACTTAAGCCAGAATGACAGGGTTAACATCCTCACTAACATCCATCCTAATTGAAGAAAATTGAAACTAGCAACAGTGACTTTCCAAAAATGTGAATCATATAACTTTTCCTAGTGTCTTTTATTTTTCTTTTATTGATAGAATCCCAGGCAAGGACTGGGTTTTCCCTAAATCAGCTGTCTATTACCAGCAAAATGCTCTTGTTCTTTTAAGATATGAAAGTTCAATCTAGACATTAATCAAAAGATTTATGATGTGTGAGGAAATGTATATTTTCTCTAAACACTATACATGTGGCATGAAGCCCAGGCTTGTAGAATTTGAAACATTTTTTTTTGCTCTGATACTATCAAATAAAGTACATCAAATAAAATGATGTACTTGTATAAATCGATGAAAACCTTTAAAAATAGAATTCTAAATAATATCAGCTTTAAATATATTTTACACTTTCCACAAAAAAAAAAGGAAATATCCCCTTGACTATACTATATTTATTTCATTAACTTGCATTTCTGTACTTCTACATTGCAGTGTGAATACTTGAGAGACTGTACATTGTTTTGGGGTTTTTTTTGTGGGAGTTGAGGTGGTTTGGGGTTGGGGATAGGTAGACCTTCCAAATGGTACTCAGGAAGTGACACACTCTTCCAGATTTACAGGTGCTGGGTTGGATTAATATAGCTGTGACTTAGTAACTCCCGTACTATCTCTCTAAATCCTTAAAAAATTATTTTCACCTAAACAACTTTATCACACAGATTATCTATTTGCCAAAAAAATAGATGCTTGATACAAATTACAGAATGTTTCTTATTTACTTTATTGACTTGCACAATTAACTGTCTGATGTACATGATAGGAATAGTGTACAACTTCTCTTCTTTTTTGAATAATTACTTTTCTTAGATTAATTAATTCCTACTTTCTCCTTTTGTTAGATTATTCTCCATTCATACTCAGATATACAAATATTTTAAAATTTTTTTTCTAATGGAAGTGATCAGTATCTCCTAGTTACTTGCATTAATTAAAAATATAGGGAATTCTACTTCTTACTCTCTTGGAAATTGTTTTTAAGTTTAATCAAAGTTTAAAATGGCAAATTTTAGAAAGACATTCCTAATGCAGAGCATATTAATGCATTGCCCAAACTAGTTTTCGGCTATTTGTTTTTCAAATGACTCTATGACCAGACTTCAGGAAGTTGTGCTAAGGAAGGAACCAGGTGTGTAACAGAAAACTAGAACAACCTTTAAGGAGAAAATGAAGGGAATATATATTAGTTACTGGGCTTTGCTTTTATATGAATAGTACCATTCCCATAATGGTTGGCACTTTTGAAACTCTGGTAATAGAGTTGCTGATGTTCATGTCAGAAAGAGACAGAGTTATATGTGTGATATAGTATGCAGATACAGACCAAAAGAACATGTAAAAATTGAAGAGACAAGAAAAATTTACTCTTCTGTCTTCTTAAAAATAGGTGTTTACAATGTAATAGGATTGAAATTGGCTTCAATCTCTAAATTTTTAATTTTCTCAGATGGAGTCATCTAGGTTTGTCTTTTATCAAAGTTCAGAAAGTTTGGTGATTTATTTGATGCTGTACATTTTATGAAGCTGTGTGCATGGCCTGGGATTAGGACAGGTGTCAGTCAGAAATATCCCACTACTATAAAAAGTGCTGTTTTGCAGAATTTCCAAGCCAATTTAAACCTATTCATTCTTGATGTCTTATAAGAACTATTTAGTATCATGGGACTTGCAGCCCAATTTTCTGACTGAACAGGTTCAGATAATTTCTAAAAAGCTAAGCAATTTTAGAGTTTTGCTAAGATGCTTATTCTACACGTCCTCCCAAAGCACAGCAAACAACTCTTATCACTTAATTTTTGTTTAAATAGTATTTGATTATCTTGATATAGATTGTTAGTGACAACTAGCAAGATTCTATGCTACCTTTCTCTATTAGTACATAGCATAAACCCAGAAAGCTACTACTTTTATTTTATTTTAATACATATGCTAATGTATATTTCTAGTTTACGATAACCAGTGGTAAATTTACTATTAAAAATGTATACTGTCTTCCAAATAGTAAATTTAAGTGATATCCATTGTGTGCTTCTTTCTTCCTCCCTCCCTCCCTTCCTCCTTCCCTCCCTCCCTCCCTCCCTCTTCCCCTTCTTTCTTTCTTTCTTTCTTTCTTTCTTTCTTTCTTTCTTTCTTTCCTTCTTTCTTTCTTTTTCTTGAATGACAAAAAGGTGTTTCTTTTAATTTTTTAAAACTCTTAATTTAATATTATAAAGTTGTTCACAATAATTTATTACATTCAATATTCCAATACCAATCCCACCACCATTACACCTTCCGACCACTATTATTTTGAATTTTCCCAACCACCATCCAAGCCTGCCCCAATAGCAGGCCCTACATAATTTATTTTATATTGTTTGTTATAAATAATTCACTAAAAATGATACAAGCAATTTTCCTAAAACTATGGAATGCATCACGGATTTGCTTGTTATCCTTATGCAGGGGCCAAGCTAATCTTCTCTGTATTGTTTCAATATTAGTATATGTGCTGCCAAAGAGAGCACAAAGAACATTTTTCCTTTTTTATGGTCTTTTGGGGTCATGCCTGGCAATACTCAAGGGTTACTCCTGTCTCTACACTCAGGAATTACTCCTGGGGGGTCCTTGGCAAACCCTGTGAGATACCAGGGATCATACAAGGTAAATGCCTTACTCACTGTATTATCACTTCAGCTCCTATTTTTTTCTTGTTATTGTGGAACTGCCTTCCTTTCTCTAGATTTCAACCAAAAAAATATTTATTTAATAGTTTCTATGTGTGGAATTGACTATATATATTCCAACACCTAATATTTTTGGACAAGGAATCACTATATCACTGTCATCTCTTTGTTCATCGATTTCCTCGAGCAGGCACCAGTAACATCTCCATTTGTCCTAGCACTGAGATTTTAGCAAGTGCCACATTGGAGGTTCTTTCAGGGTCAGGGGAATGAAACCCATAATTGTTACTGGATTTTGGCATATCGAATATGCCACGGGGAGCATGTCAGACTCTGCCCTGCTGGTGGAACACACCCGGTAGCCTGTTGGGTTCTCTGAGAGTGAGAACTAGACAATAAGAGGTCACCATGGACAAGGAAAGCATTCATATTTTCTTGAGGTCAAATAATAAAGGGGAAGAAAGGTCAGCAGTCATGTAGACCTGAGCAAAAGGTGCAGCGGCATTTGTTGTTCTGACTATGCTGCTTCCTTTCTGAACACCTTTCTAATTAGAATAAAAGGGAATCATAAGATGTTGAGAGTCAGTGTTGTTGTTGGGAAGGAAATGGTAAATAAGTCACCTTGATGGACACCTAGAGAAGAGTGTAAGAGACCTATATATGTTTCTTCAGATGCTTCCATTCTGGAGTTTAAATGTTAGAAGCATGAAGCAAAGCACTAACTCCTGTTGAGTTTATTTATTATAGCAAAACTGGTGGAGTTGAAGATTAAGTAGTAAGCATTCTCTATATTTCTTGTAAATTCATATATGGTAGTATAAACAGAAATAAAATGTTCAGGGCTTGTCTTCATTCCTTTGTATCTTTGTCAGACTGTAGGATAACACTGTTCTGTCCTTCCTGCACAGCCTCAGGTAGTTTAGGTTTATTAGGTTGCTCCCATCACAGTGTTCCCATTCCTCTGTGTTTATTTGTAACTTTTTTCTTTGTGCTCTGTTGACTTGTAAATATTGTTTTTCTCTTCTCCCTAAATCCTTGGCATAGTTTATTCAGAGCAATGTCCTTTTTGTATGGACACAAGAAGACATGCTTTTGTAATGTGACTCTCAGTGATATTTCCCTCCTGGGCATCTGTTTTCCCACCTAAGGCTCAGCTGCCTTTACTTCCTAGCGCCCCCAAAAGCTGGGTCCTGATGAGAAACTGGATGGAACCAGGGCAAGTGGTAAGCTACGTGCTACCCTAACATCGAGATGGGCCTGGCCAAAGCGCCATAATGCTTAACTATCAGTTAAGAGCTTGGTCATGGACACATGCTGTCATGATCCAAAAAATAATAAGTAGATTTGGACCCTGCTAGGGTTAGGAATGATTAATCTGGCCTGAGCTCTGCAGCCTGTTCCTAGGAGAGCTGCCCTACAAGTCTCAATGTTATAGATTACTGTTACAAAAATAGCTAGTATTGATATGTTGATAGTTCTTGAACTGAGGAAAAGAGAAAAACACCCTGGGAGGCATTTTGCCCTTGGGCAGTCAGGAAGGGCTTTAGAGTACCTTTAAGGTGGACCCTCAGCCAGGGCTTTCTTATATTGATTTTGCTACCTGACTGGGTGCAGTGTGAGCCCAGACTGCAAGGGAGTTGGAGGCAAAAGAGCTGGAGAGAGGAGAGAGCAGGGCTGCAAGATGGACCATGGACAGACTAGCAAGGGGGAGCAAGTGCTGGAGAGAACCTGGGCCCTCCATAACATAAATTTCTTCTATGGTATGAACTTCCTTGTAATAAACTGCTACTAAGAACAACCAGCCTGGCCCTCGCCTCTTCCTTCATCTGTTCTTGGCCAACAGTCGTCCCGATCTAGGCCACACACAGTGGCTCAAGAGCACCGAATGCTGGCGGTGAGACAGAGCCGTACAGAGAGCCCACGAACACACATTCTTCAGCATGTTTAGTTCTTTACAGTCAGATCTTATATCCTAACTTTTCTCACTGTCATTTGCGTTAAAGCATGTCCTAAAATATGTATTTTTTCCTGTTTAATTCAACCAAAAAAATTTAATTTTTTAAAAATAAAACTCCTGACAAATAATAAAGAAATGTAATGTCATAATGACGAGTTGCTTTGCATCTAAAATTTGTATCATAATCTTGCAGAGATAAGTCTAAATTGGTTATTTGTCATTGTAATTTGTAATTGCATAACTAATGTTAATAGTACAACTAGAGGCTGAACACATAGTACAGGGCATTGTGTTTGCTTTGCATCTGGCCAGCCAGGTTGGATTTTGATTCTGACATTGCATAAGTTCTCAAGAGCACCACCAGGAGTCACTACTGCACAAAGAGTCGGAAGTGATCCCTGAGCACTGCCAAATATGATCCCAACGCTCACTCCCACCCTGATCCCAACAATAACATTGTCAACAAGATTAAATTAAAAGTGAAAAAAAAATAAATCGCGAACCTTTTGTCAATATCCACTATCTTACGAATAAAAAAATGAATAATTAGTTCTAGTTGTTTTCAAAAAGTCCGTTTCATCTTCTGGTTTTGGCTGTGGCCCATAAGGAAATTGTAAGTAACTGTTATGTCTAACGGCAAGAAAAAAGCTGAAGAACCTAAAAAATCAACCACTCTTTCTTGCTCTGACTGAAAAATGAGGTCAAAGTGCTCTACTGCCCCTCAAATTTGAAGAAACAAACAAATAGAGAAAATTTCAACTAACGCCCCTAGCAGAAACCTCCAAGAAAACTATTGCCACAGTACAAAGCTGCAATGGCAATTGATAAATTGTCAGGGGCTTGAAGAGGACAACTGAGGGAGTTAAAAAAAAAAAAAACCTCTCGTGGACTCCAAAAATGAATTTTTACTTCCAAAAGCTTGACCACATCCTCACAGTGAATGGGTATGTGTGTTTGTAGATGTAGTGGTGTTGGACATCTAGGGAAATCCAACGCACACACTTGACTTTAAGCAAAGGGAAAGGAAAAGGAACCATATTGAAAAAGAGCACAGCTTTCTATTTGTGGAAAAAAACTACCCTTAGAGAAACTTTCTTAGCAGAGTTCAAGTCATTGGGGTTCTCTACCAGAGCTTAAAAAATGGGAAGAAATGTCTAACCAGTCATTAATAAAAGGAAGAGCTTAATCAATTTCCTGCAATCCTTCCAATATATGTGTGTGTGAGTGTGTGATATATATGAATATATATGTATATATATCACTGTATCACTGTCATCCTGTTCATCGATTTACTCCAGGAGGCACCAGCAATGTCTCTATTCCTCCCAGCCCTGAGATTTTAGCATCCTCTCCTTACTCGTCTTCCCCAACGATCAGAGGCCCTTTCAGGGTCAGGGGAATGAGACCTGTTATTGTTACTGTTTTTGGCATATCGAATATGCCACAGAGAGCCTACCAGGCTCTGCCCATGTGGGCGGGATACTCTCTGTAGCTTGTTGGACTCTCTGAGAGGTATATATATGTATATATTTTTTTCTATGATTTATTGTCTACTGTCTGAACCTCATCAAATATGGTGTGGTAATTATAGACAATGGGCAGGAAGTGTCCTATAATGTGTCAGAAAGCGTCCTGGAGCATGATGGTGGTTGGGTAGTGGAGGTCAGCTGCCAGGACTTGGTCCTTTGGGATGGGGAGTGCTCCCGCCTGCCCCACTCTGGAGCTCCCCGAGTGAAAACAGCCTAGCATAGAGTCTGGTGGCATGGTTATGGGAGCCTCATTTTATGCTCCCTTCCAGGAGAAGCATCCCTGAGTTCTGGAGGGTGGCTGATGAGATTATCTGGCGCTGGCAGGGAGTGGCTTATGGGTTCCCAAACACTGGGGGAAACAGGCAGAGCATTTCTGCTCCCTGGTCACAAAGCAGAATCATTGAGCCCAGAGTCTAAGGTCACAAAATTCCACATTACCTGGGTTCTGTGGGACTTTATTCATGCATGATGCTCAGCCCAAGCCTCCAACAAGTGGCCTAGAGCATGGCGGCAGTTGAGTAGTGGAGGTCGGCTGCCAGGGATGGGTCCCCTGTTGGAGGGAGGGGAGCTTCATATTAGATCTTCTTATTAGATCTAAGGAAAGGGGGGAATGAGAAGGATCTTTGGAGCTCAGAGTTTAAAAGCACAGAAGAACTGAAATATTAAGACTTAATCATAAAATCACAGATCATTTACTCTGCCCATCTCCATACCTACTACCATATTACTAAAAAACCATTTACTCAGTTCTTTTCACTTGATGTTTCATTAAGGAAAATTGTAATGGCTATTAAAACATATTTAATAGAGGTACAGCCCGCCCCCAAGGGCCTGGGTTCCTCTCTGGGCACGCGCAGCTAGAAACAGCCCCTAGGCAGCCGGTTTTCAACCCCTGATCCACGTGGGACGGGCACAGAGGCCCAGCTCTGGGCAACAAAGCTGAACGGCTCCAATTCCAACAGGTACAGCCCGCCCCCAAGGGCCTGGGTTCCTCTCTGGGCACGCGCAGCTAGAAACAGCCCCTAGACAGCCGGTTTTCAACCCCTGATCTGCGTGGGACGGGCACAGAGGCCCAGCTCTGGGCAACAAAGCTGAACGGCTCCAATTCCAACAGGTACAGCCCACCCCCAAGGCCCTGGGTTCCTCTCTGGGCACGCGCAGCTAGAAACAACCCCTAGACAGCCGGTTTTCAACCCCTGATCTGCGTGGGACGGGCACAGAGGCCCAGCTCTGGGCAACAAAGCTGAATGGCTCCAATTCCAACAGGTACAACCTGCCCCCAAGGGCCTGGGTTCCTCTCTGGGCACGCGCAGCTAGAAACAGCCCCTAGACAGCCGGTTTTCAACCCCTGATCT